ACAAAAAAAAATATTTGTTTGACAGAGGATATCTTTATATGTATACTTAGGTTTATATACAAACTTACTAGATCCATGAATGTGGTAAGAGCATATAGGGGGCAATGTTAGAAAAACATCCTAGACATAATCAATAATCTTGATGGAATGAGTCACTAAACACAGGGAACCAAAACCATAGCCTTGGGGGACATCAGGATCAGCTGACAAAATGTCACCCACAAAGACAAGATCCAATATCTTAATTTGGTGAGTAGCTATTTGGGTCTTAAAAGCTTGTGAGCAGCCATATAAGGTGTGGCGCAAATCAAAAGATACATGGAAACACAGTTAGTCCAATGGAGTAATGGGCAGTACAAATAAGTCTCCATAACCCTGCGACCAGAAGAACTCAAGGTGCCAGCTACCATATCAGCTGAAAAGGATCACACTAGACGGTCATGGATAGTGAGGGAAAAATGTGGAACAAAATGGCTAAGTGACCAAGTTTACTAGGTGAATAGAGCCAGGCTAAGAATGTAGCACTGTCTTTCAGAACTGGACTCATTCTGCATGAGAATAATCAACCTTGTTTAAGCTTGTCCTTCGTGTTTTGCTGGTGATCTTTCTATTTTGTGGTTTGTATTCAGGTCTTTGATCCATCTTGAGTTTTGTACTTGGTGTGAGGTCTGTGTCCAGCTTCATTGTTTTGCAGGTGAAGACCCAGTTCTTCAGCACTATTTGTTGAAAGGGCTATATTTTCCCCACTTACTGTGTGTTAGTCCTTTATCAAAGAGTAGGTGTTTATTGGTACTTGGTTTTATTTCTGGGTTCTCAATTTTAATCTATTGGTCTTCATATCTATCAGTATACTAGGATACTAGTATACTGTTTTGATTAAAATAGCTATATAATAGGTTTTAAAGTCTGGGAGTGAAAGGTCACCTAACTTTGTTTGTTTTTACTTTTTATACAGTTATTTATTTATCCTGGGTTTCTTTTTTTCCATATCAAGTTGGTGATTAGTTTCCACAACTGAGCATTTTAATCACAAAGAGCCAGCACCACTAATGTTAAAATAGCACCAGCTTTATATGAACAGGTAAGAGACCCTAGATAAACAACCCAAGGAAAACAAAGGAGGTGGCTTCTCATTTCCGGATTTTCAGTTACAGTAGTTATAATTACAGTAGTTAAAACAGTCTGACACTTGAACAATAAACACATAATATCAATGAAAATAGAACTGAAAACCCAGTAAATCCATCCACCTATGGACACCTCATCTTTGACAAAGGCCCAAAACATATTAAAAGGAGGAAGAGATAGTTTAACAAATGATGCTGATAAAATAGGATATCCATTTAGAGATGAATAATCCACAAAATACACAAAAATGAACTCAAGCTAGATCAAATATCTAAACAATAAAACCTAAAATGTAAGGACCAACCACGAAACAATAGGGACAAATTCAAAGGTCCTAGTGCATGGCATAAATACACAATAAAACAGAACTGAAAATACGTAAACAAAAACAAACTACATGTTTGAGACTTCCTAAAACTTAATGTACATCAAAACATTTCACCAAAAAAGTCAAGAGAGAACCCAGAAACTGGGAAAATATAATCAAAAACTTTGGCAATGACATGCTGGACAAGAACTAAGCTCTATAATTTATAGAAAACCTTGATATCTCAACAACAAAAATAGAAATAATCTAATTTTAAAATGAGCAGAGAACATAAACAGACCCTTCAGTAAAGAATATATTCACG